CCCCCCCCCCCCCCCCCCCCCCCCCCCCCCCTCTCCTTCTCCGCAGTGACTTCGTTATAAAATAATTGGCAGCGCACCAACTACCGATGCGAAGATGCGTTTTTTGCACAGTTCCGCCACAGGTTTTTTTGGCTAATGGCATTCTTTCTGGCAGATGCTCCTAGCTAAAAAAATTGAGACTGAACATCACGACTGTTAAAAATTATTACAGTGACTCTCAATTCATGCTCAAGAAAATTCAACGCTTTATTTGCTTCAGTTGCGGAGTTAGATCAAGTTTCACGTGTTCCTACGTAAAACAGACATAACTGCTGTTTTTACGGATGTCTGCCAAAGCGCGGTCTTGGATCACGCTCAAAAAATTTCAGCACTTCAGCTGCTTTGATTGCGGAGTTACGTCAAATTAATTTCACGTGCTCGTATGTGAGGAGAATAAGAGAACTTTTTTTTGTGTGCACTTGCCCAGAGACTTTCGAGGAACAATCTCCGAAAATTTTGGCAGAGTAGCTATCCACGAATTCGTGCCGTCTCGGTTACGAGTTACGTTAAACCACACGTGATCGTATTGAGGGGAAAAGTGAATGCTGTTTTTAGGTGCAGCTAGTCAAACACGGCCCCGAGTCACGCTCAGAAAATTCCAGTGCTTTACTGCTTCGGCTGCAGCGTCTCCCACGTTTCTTCTATGTCCCACGTACATGAGGTGTACGTGGGACATGGAAGAAACGTGGGAGTTGTTTTCACGTTCATCTGACCAAACGCCGCTGTCGGCCATGCTCCAGTTGCTTCATTCCCGAAGTTATAAAACCATCTACGTCAAATTTCAAGGGTCCGTACGTGAGGTGCAGAAGAGCTGGAAAACTTAATTTACTTTCACCGGCATATCAGGAGGCAAAAGCAACGCTGCAAAACTACAGCTTTTAATCGGCATGGCGCCAATTTAAATTTTGACATGTACGTACGCGAGATTTAGGAATGTGTAAAGGCTGAATTTAAAATCTTTAGGTTGAACATGGGCAACGGACATCTTCGTTAAGTTTCAGCCTTCCAGCTCGCGTGACTCTCGAAGTCGCTTTGCCGCCAAAAAATTCTTTGTGTGAGAACCACGCGGACGTGAGCGTTCATTTTGAGGACAGGGGCCCATAAACAGGTGTAGATTAAATTGTCAAAGTTTCAGACTTGTAGTTATTGTAGGTCTCGAGATGAAAACTCGGCACACATGCGCACACAACCCCAAGAAAAAATGCGTTTTTGAGTTGCAGAGGTGCAAAAAACGCATAAAAATTACCGATGTTAACAAGCTTAATGTTCTCCTCTTTCTCTAGAAACTCCAGCGCAAGAGAGATGTTCTCCAGTTTCTGGCTATGGAAAGTGACTTTCTTGTTGTATCGACCAACCGATTTCCCGGAAAGCACTTCAACTAAGCGAATTAGTTTCAGGCCTTCCTCGAAATCTGTCTCCTGAAAATTTCCAAATTAAACCCTAATCGCCCTGACGAACAGCAATCGGAGGACGAACAACTACAGGAACTTTAGTATGGCGCCATTGGACGGTTTGGATCTTCGGAAGTACACTTTAACTACAAGCCGTTAACTAGGAATCAACTCTCGAGTCATGTTTCGATACAACACTGTACACTGTATGATGTCCCTGGTGTATATGTGTGTGTGTGTGTGTGTGTGTGTGTGTGTGTAGTGAAGGATAGAACACACCGTAACCTGGAGCAGCGGTAAAAAGACTAAGCTCGACATCGGGGAAGAACAGAGGAGTCGGGTTTACCGTGAACAGAAAGTGGTTTCTACAAGCCATCTCTTGTCAGTTCCATTCGTCACAAAAGAAATATGCACCGAAAACTGCGTCAGTTATGCGGCCAGAACCGGAACAAACTAATAGATGATGCTTACGCTATGTTAAAGCCTGGGAAGAACGCCGGATAGATGGATCTTTCTGACCGCCTGCAGAATTATTAAATGTGGCAGAAGGAAATGCTGTGTTTTTCGTCAGAAGTTAGAAGGTACAAGGTAACACAAAACCTATTCGGAATGTCAGAAGTATGATAATTGTTGCAGAGGAAGAATGAGTGACAAGAAACGAAGATGGTGGCTAAATCTCCTTCGCCTTGTCCAGTTGCCCTTCGGTTCCCAATGTCCCGTCTTTTGACTCGAGTTCCCCCTCCGTGGTATTTAATGTGCTGATTAGAAACGAACTTGAAATTATTTTTGTTGCTCTAAAAAGCGTGTGGAGGCAGCTTGGATCTGCTGCCAGGTAATTTTGGAGATTTTTTTTGATTTTTTTTACGATTGTACTAATAATGAGGTGTTTTGTTGTTGTTGAGCTGCCCAGGCTCTCCTCTTCCTGATCGTTACGTAATTCATGTGATAGTCTTTTTTTTTTCTTTTGAGGGATGATTTATGTGCCTACCAGATCCGTGACTGTATCATTGACAGGCTTCAAATGCTGATTAACCCATCGCGTGAAAGTATTTTGCTGGATCTTCTTCCACGCGGCGTCGTGTTGCCACTCGTCCAGAACCATCTGCAATACCGAAGCCATGCAACAAAATTAATTTGCAAAGAGCAAAAAAACGCTCAAAAATAAACCAGTAAACGTTCCCGCGTAATTTGCGACTGCGGTACAACACACAGCGAAACAAATCCAGTCCCACAGGCACACAAGAAGCGCAGTTCAGACGGAATCCAGAAACCACTGACGTGGTCTTGGCACAAAGTCATCCAAAAAATCGTCTTGCCGAAAACAGTGCCTCTCCGGTAGTGCAGTTACTACTTATTAGCGAGATTCCTTACCTACTCGTACGGCTGAATTTTACATATTCAACAAAAATTTACCCCACTACATCGCTTTTGAAGTTTCTGGTATGCAAAACGTGAAATAAGGTAAGCGCCTTCATCACAAAAAAATGAACACCATTACTTGAAGACACCTAGTGTTCCACGGTTTCCCTCTTTCTTCCAAAATCTGATGCCCCTGACTGATCAGCAATTTACCACCGAGTACAAATTTCACATCATCCCTCACCACCTTCTGCAAACTGTTTCGGCATTTCTTGTTTAAGTACATCAATTACATTTCATCATTTTGTAAAAAATAAGCTGAAGCAGAGGAGCAGGATGAAGCTTTCAGCAAGTTACGAGATATCTTTTCCAACTAACGACTCTGAGAATCACACTTTTCATTTCCAATGTTTTATCAGTTCTGTACGACTAGAAGTGTGATTTATACCGATCTTGCTGAGAGGAAAATTAGGGCAACCCAAGAGCCGTGACAGGCATAGCACGATAGTTACCGGCAGTTTGCAGCCCATATCCACTCTTAAGTATTGCAGTTTCAACCTGTGTGAGCGACATTATCTTTAAGACATTGCACGTCAGAAAAAATTGGCCAACGCACGCGGCCGGTGCGACGTTTTTTGCAGAGTTCCCCGCAGTTTTTGTCGCTACCGGCATCGGTTTTATCGGCAGATGCTTCTTTTCCCTGCAGTTTTTGTCGCTACCGGCATCGGTTTTTTCGGCAGATGCTTCTAGTGGCTGCCCGTGCGAAGATGCGTTTTTTGCAGAGTTCGCCGCAGTTTCTGTCGCTACCGGCATCGGTTTTTTCGGCAGATGCTTCTAGCTGAAAGAATTTCAGACTGGCCACCAGAACTGTCAGAAAACATCCCCTCAAAATTCCAGTCTTCTAGCTGTTCACGTTATCGAGTCAGTAACTTACCCGGAAGGAACTTTCACTGGCCCGTACGTAGGTACCACGCTTACTCGCGGGCAGGGTTTGAACTCGTTAATAC